CCTCCTCCCTTGATCCTTTATATTGGGCAGACAGACCAGTTCCCTGCCTCCTCCCGCTGCCACCTGCCTCCTCCATTTTGGGGGTAATGCTGTATTCAATTGGTTGTAATTTTGGATTGAGCAGACCTTCCCATACAATTCTGATAACTCCATGAAAGACATAACTCTACCATTCAAATGTACAATATCATTTAAAAACAAAATACCCTTTTCAAGGGGAGAGATATATGTTTGTCATGGGCAAAGAAACTCGAAAGGGGTGATTATATTGATTAACAACAATTTTGATCCGATTGTGCAAACTGGGCAAACAGATCCTCAAGGAAGACAGGTCCTTTTAAATATGCTATTGGATAAAAACAGATCTGGCTAATTAATCTATATGGGCCAAATAATGATGATCCACACTTCTTCTAAAATATATATAATTCTCTGTTGCGCTCACAAGCAACTAATTAATCTATTATTATGATGGGAGATTATAATACGGTTTTAATTATCTCAATGGATCGTAAAAGAAATCACACTACAAACTATCACCCTCAAGCACTTAAGGAGATCACAAATATCATGGATACATTAGAACTAGTGGATATGTGAAGGCTGAAAAACCCTGACCTAGTGTGATATACATGGAGGAAGCTTGATCAAGCTAGCCGTCTTGATTACTTCCTGGTCTCGTTCTTGCTTGCATCAAAAGTTTAAAAAGTATTAATAGGAGACAGAATGTGATCGGATCATCATCTAATTGGCCTCCATATAACTCTTACAGAATTTCCACGTGGACGGGGATATTGGAAGTTTAATCAAAGCCTATTAGATGACAACTTGTTCTTAACTAAGACCAAAATAATTAATCATTGACTTTTTTTCTGCACAACATACGTAGCTACAGCAGATCCCCTTAATGTATGGGACACTTTTAAATGTACTTTTAGAGGCCATTCAATACAATACTCATCATTAAAACAAAAGCAGTTTAGGTCAAAAGAGATTAGACTAGTAAAGGAAAAATAGGAAATAACAGTGCAGGTAGATGGTTGTCATGGAAACTGGACTACAGAGGCACAAAATAGGTTAAAGGAAAAACAAAAATAATTGGAGGTACTTATTCAAGAATGACCAAGTGTAATGTATTACAAAAAGAAAGCTAATTGGGTGGAACATTTTGAAAAATGCATTACATTTTTTCTTGAATCTTCAACATAAAAATCATCCATGATTCACCAAATGATATTTTGAAAGAGGAAGCAAGGTACTTCAAGCATACGTTTTCTTTTCAGTCTCCTCCATCTCCACTGAATGATGTTAACTGTAATAATAATAATGTAAAATTAACCAATGTACAGAAGGACCTGTGTGAAGGCCAACTTACAGAGGAGGAACTTTTGTACTCTAAGATCCATTATTAGCATGTTTTAATTACTGTTAGACTTTCAGGTACTCAACAAGAAGGTCTGATTTCATTACTACTGAAACAGGACCCAGGTGGTAAAAAATGGAGACCTCTTACACTTCAATGTTGTGATGCGAAAATCCTGGCGAAATGCATAGCACATAGAATGAAAAAAAGGTTTTACCAGATATTGTTAATCCTTATCAGACAGGTTTTTTACATGGAGATAATATATTGGAGATAATATACGACAATTACTTGAAACAATTGAACATTATGAAAACCTCAAAGATACCAGGCCTGGTCTTCATAGCAGATTTTGAAAAGTCGTTTGATAAAGTACGACTAGAATGTATGTATTAATGCCTGGATTATTTAAATTTCAGTGAATCTCTTATACATTGGGTTAAAGTTATGTACAGCAAACCAGGTGTAAAATAGTAAATAATGGTTACTTCTCAGAAAGTATTGAGCTTTTCAGAGGAGTAAAACAAGGCTGTTCATTGTCTCCATGTCTATTTACAGTGAGGGAAAAAAGTATTTGATCCCCTGCTGATTTTGTACGTTTGCCCACTGACAAAGACATGATCAGTCTATAATTTTAATGGTAGGTTTATTTGAACAGTGAGAGACAGAATAACAACAAAAAAATCCAGAAAAACGCATGTCAAAAATGTTATAAATTGATTTGCATTTTAATGAGGGAAATAAGTATTTGACCCCTCTGCAAAACATGACTTAGTACTTGGTGGCAAAACCCTTGTTGGCAATCACAGAGGTCAGATGGACCTTAATGTGCTTCTACTTGAGCCACTCCTTTGCTGCCTTGGCCCTGTGTTTTGGGTCATTGTCATGCTGGAATACCCATCCATGACCCATTTTCAATGCCCTGGCTGAGGGAAGGAGGTTCTCACCCAAGATTTGATGGTACATGGCCCCGTCCATCGTCCCTTTGATGCGGTGAAGTTGTCCTGTCCCGTTAGCAGAAAAACACCCCCAAAGCATAATGTTTCCACCTCCATGTTTGAAGGTGGGGATGGTGTTCTTGGGGTCATAGGCAGCATTCCTCCTCCTCCAAACACGGTGAGTTGAGTTGATGCCAAAGAACTCGATTTTGGTCTCATCTGACCACAACGCTTTCACCCAGTTCTCCTCTGAATCATTCAGATGTTCATTGGCAAACTTCAGACGGCCCTGTATATGTGCTTTCTTGAGCAGGGGGACCTTGCGGGCGCTGCAGGATTTCAGTCCTTCACGGCGTAGTGTGTTACCAATTGTTTTCTTGGTGACTATGGTCCCAGCTGCCTTGAGATCATTGACAAGATCCTCCCGTGTAGTTCTGGGCTAATTCCTCACCGTTCTCATGATCATTGCAACTCCACGAGGTGAGATCTTGCATGGAGCCCCAGGCCGAGGGAGATTGACAGTTATTTTGTGTTTCTTCCATTTGTGAATAATCACACCAACTGTTGTCACCTTCTCACCAAGCTGCTTGGCGATGGTCTTGTAGCCCATTCCAGCCTTGTGTAGGTCTACAATCTTGTCCCTGACATCCTTGGAGAGCTCTTTGGTCTTGGCCATGGTGGATGGTTTGGAATCTGATTGATTGATTGCTTCTGTGGACAGGTGTCTTTTATACAGGTAACAAGCTGAGATTAGGAGCACTCCCTCACCCTACTAGAATCTGAAGTCAAATGTCTACTGTTTGCTGATGATCTGGTGCTTCTGTCACCAACCAAGGAGGGCCTATAGCAGCACCTAGATATTCTGCACATATTCTGTCAGACCTGGGCCCTGACAGTAAATCTCAGTAAGACAAAAATAATGGTGTTCCAAAAAAGGTCCAGCTGCCAGGACCACAAATACAAATTCCACCTAGACACCGTTGCCCTAGAGCACACAAAAAACTACACATACCTCTGCCTAAACATCAGCGCCACAGGTAACTTCCACAAAGCTGTGAACGATCTGAGAGACAAGGCAAGAAGGGCCTTCTATGCCATCAAAAGGAACATAAAATTTGACATACCATTTAGGATCTGGTTAAAAATACTTGAATCAGTTATAGAACCCATTGCCCTTTATGGTTGTGAGGTCTGGGGTCTGCCCACCAACCAATAATTCACAAAATGGGACAAACACCAAATTGAGACTCTGCATGCAGAATTCTGCAAAAATATATTCAGTGTACAATGTAAAACACCAAATAATGCATGCAGAGCAGAATTAGGCCGATACCCACTAATTATCAAAAACCACCTAAAAGGAAGCGATTCCCAAACCTTCCATAACAAAGCCATCACCTACAGAGAGATGAACCTGGAGAAGAGTCCCCTAAGCAAGCTGGTCCTGGGGCTCTGTTCACAAACACAAACAAACCCCACAGAGCTCCAGGACAGCAACAAAATTTGACCCAACCAAATCATGAGAAAACAAAAAGATAATTACTTGACACATTGGAAAGAATTAACAAAAAAACAGAGCAAACTAGAATGCTATTTGGCCCTAAACAGAGAGTACACAGTGGCAGAATACCTGACCACTGTGACTGACCCAAAACAAAGGAAATCTTTGACTATGTACTGACTCAGTGAGCATAGCCTTGCTATTGAGAGAGGCCTCTGAAGGCAGACCTGGCTCTCAAGAAAAGACAGGCTATGTGCACACTGCCCACAAAATGAGGTGGAAACTGAGCTGCACTTCCTAACTTCTTGCCAAATGTATGACCATATTAGAGACACATATTTCCCTCGGATTACACAGACCCATAAAGAATTCGAAAACAAATCCAATTTTAATAAACTCCCATATATATTGGGTGAAATACCATATTTGTGACCTGTTGCCACAAGAAAAGGGCAACCAGTGAAGAACAAACACCATTTATTTTCCCTTTTGTACTTTAACTATTTGCACATCATTACAACACTGTATATAGACATAATATGACATTTGAAATGTCTTTATTCTTTTGGAACTTTTGTGAGTGTAATGTTTACTGTTAATATTTATTGTTTATTTCACTCTTGTTTATTATCTATTTCTTTGGTAATGTTAACATATGTATCCCATGCCAATAAAGCCCCTTAACTTGAAATTGAATTGAGAGAGAGAAAGTAGTAACTTAATACATACAAGTTTATTCAGTTCTGTCTTTTCCCCCTCTTATCTTCCCTACTTCACTTTATGTACCAAAGAGATAGCCTCTGATTACTCCACAGTTACATGTACCAAAGAGATAGCCTCTGATTACTCCACAGTTACATGTTCCAAAGAGATAGCCTCTGATTACTCCACAGTTACATGTACCAAAGAGATAGCCTCTGCCACAACCTTCCACCTCACCTTGGAGAACAACGTGAGTGAAGCCTGGAGCCGAGCCTACCAAACAGGCTTCTGTGATACTCAACGTCAGCTAACTTATTCCCCTAATAATCCATGTTGAGGCAGACTGTGTAGACAAACAGACTGCATTGTGTATGGACTGACTTGTCTAACCCACCCAGCTAAATATAAAACCACACGTTCATCGTTCACCAGACAGTTAGAGACCGTTGTGCAGGTGTGTCATGTTGATACGATAGCGGCAGTCGTTTTTTTGTTAGTGAGGCACTGAATTTTCAGCACCGTGCTGACTGGCTGCGCAGTAATAGATTGCACTGTCTGTAGGGTTTATGTCAGAGATAACCAGGGTGGCTTTGGCCTTGGAATGACCTGTTAAGTTGAACCGCGTCTCATAGTTCTTCTCGAGAGCAGGGTTTACATAGTGTAGCGTTCCAATGAGGTCCATGGTCTTCTGGCCTCCCTTGTCCTTCTGTTGGTACCACAACATGTAGGGGTAGTTGTTGTCGCCGTGGTAACAGTCCAGGCGAGCCTCTCTGTGTTCAGGTGTCCTCCTCAGGAGGTGTTGAGGAGTCTGGTGGATGAGGAGAGAGGAGGAGAAAACCTCCTCTACCGAGGGAGGAAACACTGTATTATATTATATTATATTATATTATAACAGTGGATATACTGTATCTCTGTGGCACTTACCTGTCAGAAAGGACAGTGAAACGATGAAGGTGGTAAATACTTTGAACATGTTGATTTTTTAGTGCAGCAGATGCTAAGAAAGGCTGAGATAGGAACTCAACGATAATTCACCAAATATTACCAATAGAAAAATGAGAAGGATGTCATTTATTTCCACTACAGTTTAACTGCACGTTACATGGACATGATGTACTGCCTAGCTCATAGCAGCCTTGTATAGGAGGTATGTACTTCTGGTGGGCAGGTCATGTGGGAGGGGAGGAGAGAAGGAGGGGAGGGGGGAGAGGAGGGAGGAAGGGAGGGGTGTAGTGAGTCTTTGTTCTGAAGAGGGAGGAGCTTATAGCTGGTGTAGCTACCTACAGTACAGTGTGACATTACTGCTCTCTGCTGTATCAGATGGAAGTTATTGATACAGGAACATAAGTTATTGATACAGGAACATAAGTTATTTATACAGGAACATAAGTTATTTATACAGGAACATAAGTTATTTATACAGGAACATAAGTTATTTATACAGGAACATAAGTTATTGATACAGGAACAGAAGTTATTGATACAGGAACAGAAGTTATTGATACAGGAACAGAAGTTATTGATACAGGAACAGAAGTTATTGATACAGTAACAGAAGTTATTGATACAGTAATATAAGTTATTGGTACAGTGACAGAAGAAGATAAGCTATAAGTAATGAAGAAAAATGACTCTTTATTTGGAAGAAAACAAACAAAATATGGAGGAAGAGGAGACGAAGAGGATGAGGAAGAGGAGGAGGAAGAGGAGAGGAAGAGGATGATGAAGAGGATGAGGAAGATGATGAGGAAGAGGAAGAGGATGATGAGGAAGATGATGAGGAAGATGACGAGGAAGAGGAGGAGGTGGAAGAGGATGAGGAAGAGGAGGTGGAAGAGGAGGTGGAAGAGAGGAGATGATCAAATGTATGTGAATCTAAGTTGACCTATGAATTCATTGTCAATAGGTTTTTCATGTATCCAGATTAGATACAATTGCTAGCAAACACCGATGCCCTCCATGACAATGAAATGTCTGGTATCTCAAAATATTATTATAGTCTTACCTGTGAGACATAGTGATACCAAACAGACAGTGAGGATCATGTTGACTGTCAACACTACAGAGAGAGCAGCTAATCTGTGTAAAGCTTCACACAGACCCAGACAAGGGAAATTACATCATCACAGTGACGTTGATTGGCAGATACATGCTCTGCCCGACCTCTCTCTGTCTGTCTCTCTTTCACTCCTTCTCGCTCTCTCTTTATAACTTCCCCTCCCTCTCTCTCTCCTTCTCCAAATATATACATATTGTTACACTTTCCTTTAAGTATTTGAGGGAACTAGTAAATAACTGTAGCTAAATTACCTGTGATCCAGAAGAGTGGGACAGTGATAACGATCAGAGGTTTGTACATGTTGACTCTCAATGATTGTTGAAAACTAACTGACATCTCATCTGAACTGAGTGGAGAGGAGGGCCAGGAAGTGACCTCATCAGTGATGTAATGACAGAATGCAGCGTGACAGCCAGCTGTACTGTTATATTCTATTATATTGGCACTGAATCAAATCCAGACCTCAGTGCAGCTGTGAGGGAGGTGTTGCTTCAGTATAATCCACTGAGACAGTGAATGAGAGGAGGTTTTTGTAGTGTAGAGACGGAATCTGCAACACTGTGCTCCACTAGCAGCACAGAAATACACAGCACTGTGATCAGGTCGTCTCAAGTTGAACATGTTCAGAGAGGCATTCTTTGGGCCACCTCCACTCAAATCCCCACTCATATTGAAATGCTTTTCATATGGACTTTCAATGGTTGTAGTCAGAAAATACAGATTTCCTATGAGTTTTAGGCTGGTTTCACCAGGTGATTTCTGGTACCACAGCATCATTCCATATTCTGATTTCTGATGGTGGCAAAAGAGTTGAACATTCTCTCCAGGTCTGCTGAATGCAGAGGGAATCTGGTGAACCTCAACACTGAGAGAGAGACCTGGAGAGAGATGGAGAGAAGACATTATCTTTCACGAGCATCGATAAGGAATTAACATACATAGTACTTGAAGAAATAGTGTCTTATAAACCCACATAGGGCTGGACACCAATTGGTGTACGACAATCAATCAATCATAGTGCCCATACTACCATACATCTAAACAAGTGATAATATCCAAGTCAGATTAATGTTATTAACCTGTGAGCCAACAGAGTACGAGGGCTCTGATCATGTTGACACGTTTGAGCTGAACAACCAACGACCAACTGACAGCTCATCTCATCTGATTCTGACTGCAGCGGAGGAGGAACAGGAAGTGACATCATCAGTGTTGTAATGACAGAACGCTGTCACAGTCGTAGAAGTAGAATCTCTAGAAAGGATGGCTGCCCAGTCCACCCGTGTATGGCATCATTGACTTGAATGGGGAGGCCCGATCTACTCATTCTGTGGTTGTAGAATATTGGCACTGAATCAAATCCAGATCTCAATGCAGGTGTGATCTGATAAACAGTAGACTGCAGTGAGACAGACTGTGTCACACTGGGTTTTTGTAGTGGAGAGAGGGAATCTACGACACTGTGCAGCACCTTGGCTCGCAACACAGAAATACACTGCACTGTGTTTGGGACCTTTAAGGTTGAACATGTTCAGAGAAGCGTTCTTTGGTTCATTTTGACTCAAATCACCAGTCACGTTTAGATGCTCTTCAAAGTATGAGGTTGTAGACTTGAAATATAAATAAGCTAGGTATTTTAGTTCTGTTTCTCCTGGTGACTGCTGGAACCACTGCATCATTCTGTAGTTAGTTCTCTCATGATGGCAGAACAGTTGAACATTTTCTCCATTTTTAAGAAAGACTTCAGATGGAGTCTGGTGAACCTCAAGACTGAGAGAGAGACCTGGGGAGAAAATGGAGAGATGGAGAGAACACATTTAGCTACTTTTATATAAATAGATGTTTAAAAAATTGAAACATACGTACACAAAAACTCTCATACTTGTCATAATTTCCTAGACCAATGTTATTACCTGTGAGACAAATAAGTGAGACAGAGAATGGGATGAGAAATCGGAACATGTTCTGTCAACAAGGACAACATCAGAGAGTCATTCTGAACTCACCAGGGAGGAAGATATTAAACAGTATGACATCACATTCCAAGCATGGGAATTACAGTAATGGTTCCTCCCACTTTGAAACAAAACAGAAATTGTGCGTCACAAATGGATCCCAAATGGCACCCTATTCCCTAAATAGTGCACTACTTTTGACCATGACCCATAGGGTGCAATTTGGGACTCACACCCTACAAATGATTTCAGCTGTTCACATCCTACAGTACAGGCATTTACAGTGGTGTTAAGCAGCCAGGTGGTTTGAATGAGCATCAGTACAGATAATGATTCAACTGGATCATAGCAAGGGGTTTGAGAGGTTTTCAGTACTGTGTCAAACTGTCTGCACAGAAATACACAGCCCTGTCTTCCAGTGTGATCTCTGAGATGTTCAATACACATCCCTGTCTTCCAGTGTGATCTCTGTGATGTTCAATACACAGCCCTGTCTTCCAGTGTGATCTCTGAGATGTTCAATACACAGCCCTGTCTTCTAGTGTGATCTCTGAGATGTTCAATACACAGCCCTGTCTTCCAGTGTGATCTCTGAGATGTTCAATACACATCCCTGTCTTCCAGTGTGATCTCTGAGATGTTCAATACACAGCCCTGTCTTCCAGTGTGATCTCTGAGATGTTCAATACACAGCCCTGTCTTCCAGTGTGATCTCTGAGATGTTCAATACACAGCCCTGTCTTCCTGTGTGATCACTGAGATGTTCAATACACAGCCCTGTCTTCCATTGTGATCACTGAGATGTTCAATACACAGCCCTGTCTTCCAGTGTGATCTCTGAGATGTTCAATACACAGCCCTGTCTTCCAGTGTGATCACTGATATGTTCAATACACAGCCCTGTCTTCCAGTGTGATCTCTGAGATGTTCAATACACAGCCCTGTCTTCCAGTGTGATCTCTGAGATGTTCAATACACAGCCCTGTCTTCCAGTGTGATCTCTGATATGTTCAATACACAGCCCTGTCTTCCAGTGTGATCTCTGAGATGTTCAATACACAGCCCTGTCTTCCAGTGTGATCTCTGAGATGTTCAATACACAGCCCTGTCTTCCAGTGTGATCTCTGAGATGTTCAATACACAGCCCTGTCTTCCTGTGTGATCACTGAGATGTTCAATACACAGCCCTGTCTTCCATTGTGATCACTGAGATGTTCAATACACAGCCCTGTCTTCCAGTGTGATCTCTGAGATGTTCAATACACAGCCCTGTCTTCCAGTGTGATCACTGATATGTTCAATACACAGCCCTGTCTTCCAGTGTGATCTCTGAGATGTTCAATACACAGCCCTGTCTTCCAGTGTGATCTCTGAGATGTTCAATACACAGCCCTGTCTTCCAGTGTGATCTCTGATATGTTCAATACACAGCCCTGTCTTCCAGTGTGATCTCTGAGATGTTCAATACACAGCCCTGTCTTCCAGTGTGATCTCTGAGATGTTCAATACACAGCCCTGTCTTCCTGTGTGATCACTGAGATGTTCAATACACAGCCCTGTCTTCCAGTGTGATCTCTGAGATGTTCAATACACAGCCCTGTCTTCCAGTGTGATCTCTGAGATGTTCAATACACAGCCCTGTCTTCCAGTGTGATCTCTGAGATGTTCAATACACAGCCCTGTCTTCCAGTGTGATCTCTGAGATGTTCAATACACAGCCCTGTCTTCCAGTGTGATCTCTGAGTGTAATTTTCATCATAGGTACACGTCAACTATGACAGACAAATTGAGGAAAAAAAATCCAGAAAATCACATTGTAGGATTTTTAATGAATTTATTTGCAAATTATGGTGGAAAATAAGTATGTTAACACCTGCTGATACCACAGTATGGTGTAGTACTGGGGAGAGTCTGTTAACACCCGCTGATACCACAGTATGGTGCTGTACTGGGGAGAGTCTGTTAACACCTGCTGATACCACAGTATGGTGTAGTACTGGGGAGAGTCTGTTAACACCTGCTGATACCACAGTATGGTGTAGTACTGGGGAGAGTCTGTTAACACCTGCTGATACCACAGTATGGTGCTGTAAAGGGGAGAGTCTGTTAACACCTGCTGATACCACAGTATGGTGTAGTACTGGGGAGAGTCTGTTAACACCTGCTGATACCATAGTATGGTGCTGTACTGGGGAGAGTCTGTTAACACCTGCTGATACCACAGTATGGTGTAGTACTGGGGAGAGTCTGTTAACACCTGCTGATACCACAGTATGGTGTAGTACTGGGGAGAGTCTGTTAACACCTGCTGATACCACAGTATGGTGTAGTACTGGGGAGAGTCTGTTAACACCTGCTGATACCACAGTATGGTGTAGTACTGGGGAGAGTCTGTTAACACCTGCTGATACCACAGTATGGTGCTGTACTGGGGAGAGTCTGTTAACACCTGCTGATACCACAGTATGGTGCTGTACTGGGGAGAGTCTGTTAACACCTGCTGATACCACAGTATGGTGTAGTACTGGGGAGAGTCTGTTAACACCTGCTGATACCACAGTATGGTTTTTCAGTTTCTCCAGAACTCTGAAACACTGAAGCTGGAGACTGGAGAACACTGGAACAGAGGAGTTCCCCTGTTACAGAAGAGGAGAGAGAGAGAGAGATCTGTTATACTGTACATTTACATTTACGTCATTTAGCAGACGCTCTTATCCAGAGCGACTCACAAATAGGGGCATTCAACTTATGATAGCCAGTAGGACAACCACTTTTCTTCAAAAGAGTAGAGAGAGGTGTTATACTCTAGTCATTCATAAAGGAAATATACAGAATTTTAGATTATTTTAGACAATCTCTAACCTGTGAGCAAGAACACAAAAAGGAACAAGATCCATTTTGATACTGTAGCTAAAAATATCCAGCAGTGATACATTCTTAGCACAGCACTGACTGTCGGTGAACATTCAAAAGAACTAGGTATGGAGGAAGTTGCGTCGTCTTCTGAATGTGTCCAGCTCTCCGCCTCTCTCTCTCCGCCTCTCTCTCCGCCTCTCTCTCTCCGCCTCTCTCTCTCCGCCTTCCTCCTCTCTCTCCGCCTCTCTCTCCGCCTCTCTCTCTCCGCCTCTCTCTCCGCCTCTCTCCCTCCTCCTCTCCTCCTCTCCTCCGCTCTCTCCTCTCCTCCGCCTCTTCTCTCTCCTCTCCACCCGCCTCTCTCCTCTCTCTCCATGCCTCTCTTCTCTCTCTCCGCTCTCTCCTCCTCTCTCCCTCTCCTCCGCCTCTCTCCTCTCACTCTCCCTCCTCCTCCCCCTCCCTCCTCTCTCCGCTCTCTCTGCCTCTATCCGCCGCTCTCTCCCTCCTCTCTCTCCTCTCTCCGCCTCTCCTCCCTCTCTCTCTCTCCTCCTCTCTCTCCGTCTCCTCTCGGTCTCTCCGCCTCTCTCTCTCCGCCTCTCTCCTCCCTCTCTCTCCGCCCTCTCTCGTCCGCTCTCTCTCCCTCTCTCCTCCTCTCTCTCTCCTCCTCCTCTCTCCCCCTCCTGCCCTCTTCCTCTCTTCTCCTCCTCTCTCTTTTCTTTCCTCCTTCTCTCTCTCCCTCCTCTCCCCTTCCCCCTCTATTCCCCGCCCCTCCCCCGCCCTCTCTCCCTGCCTCCTCTCTCTCCTTTCCCCTTTCCCCCTTCTCTCCGGGTCCTTCTCCCTCCCCCTCTCTCTTCCCCCCCCTTCGCCCCCTCTCCCCCTTTTTTTTCCCCCTTCCTCTCTCTCCCCTCTTCTCTCCCCTCCTTCTGGGGCTCTCTTTCCCTCTCCTCCTCTTCCCTTGTTTTTCTTCCTCCCCCTCTGTGCTCCCCCTTTCTCTCGCTCTCTCCCCTCTCTCTTTTTCCCCTTTTAAAACTCTCTCCCCCCTTTCCCTCCGCCTCTCCTCTCTGACTCTCGATCCGCTCTCTCTCTCCGCCTCTATCTCTCTGCCTGTCTCTTCCGCCTGCTCTCTCCGCCTCTCTCTCTCCGCCTCTCTCTCCGCCTCTCTCTCTCCGCCTCTCTCTCCGCCTCTCTCTCCGCCTCTCTCTCTCCGCCTCTCTCTCCGCCTCTCTCTCCGCCTCTCTCTCTCCGCCTCTCTCTCCGCCTCTCTCACACTCATAGCAAAGTACATTGTGGTTCTGCATCTCCTGAATCCATGTATTCCATCTCTCATTTAGTAGTAATGACAGCTGGACACCGATGAACGTTTGTGTCTTTACTATCAACTTTGATCACTCTAAACAGTCTCAACTGTGACCTCTGAAACCCCATTAACCCATTGTAGCTGGACAGCAAGTAACTAAATACATAACACCGCATGGATTGGTTGAGCTGTGACTCCACCTACAGGAAAGACATGATATCATATCATAACACCGCATGGATTGGTTGAGCTGCGACTCCACCTACAGGAAAGACATGATATCATATCATAACACCGCATGGATTTCTTGAGCTGTTACTCCACCTACAGGAAAGACATGATATCATATCATAACACCACATGGATTTCTTGAGTTGTAACTCCACCTACAGGAAAGACATGATATCATATCATAACACCACATGGATTTGTTGAGCTGTGACTCCACCTACAGGAAAGACATGATATCATATCATAACACCACATGGATTGGTTGAGCTGTGACTCCACCTACAGGAAATACATGATATCATATCAATAACATGTCATGGTCTCCTGAATGTGCCATCAGAGGGAACCTCCCCTTTGTAATGGGCCGGCTGGTGAGCGTGTTGGCACCGACTGAGAGTCGGTTACAGTGTGACAACGCAGGTGTGAGGATTCTGACAGCATATCGGGGAGGAGGGTTGTTGTAGAGCAGAGAGGGAGATCTGATGCACTGTGTTAGCTAGCAGCACAGTAATACACAGCACTGCTATCTGGAGTTAGCTCTCTGATGGTTAAGGTGCTGGTGGCACCTGCATTAGCATCTCCTTCCAAAGCTATATCAAATCCAGCCTCAGTGAATCCTGAACCCCCAATCATGTATCCCAGAAGTATTAACTGTCTATGTCCATCTTGTTTGTACCAGAGGATGGTGTTATAGTTTGGTACTCTATGTGAACACTCCATCTTAGCAGACTCTTCCTGGTTCTTGTACAGGGCTGCAGGACTCTGGCCAACATGGTTACTCAGAGAAGAACCTGGAGAGAGAGAGAGAGAGAGAGAGAGAGAGAGAGAGAGAGAGAGAGAGAGAGAGAGAGAGAGAGAGAGAGAGAGAGAGAGAGAGAGAGTGTCATTGCCAACAACATTTCATCAATTTTAGAATAAGGGTGTAACGTAACAAAATGTGGGAAAAGTGAAGGGGTCTGAATACTTTCCGAATGCACTGTAAACATGTAGGTGTTCGCCTTAGCAATCTCGCTGGAATAAAGACCTCCTCCATTTCTGTTATTATTGAAAGAGATTGTGATAACATCTCACATCTCAAAATAGGGCTACTTAATGTTAGATCTCTCACTTCCAAGCCAGTCATAGTCAATGAACTAATCACTGATCATAAACTTGATGCGATTGGCCTGACTGAAACATGGCTCAAGAATTATGAATTTACTGCGTAGTCATGGCAGGTAATACTCACATTTTTGGTGACTTCAATATTCACATGGAGAAGACCACAGACACATTTTAAAAACGATCGGCCTATGTCAAATCTCCCATTCCTCTCTTTTGTTTTTCTTTTTTTATTAAAGCTGTTCACTCAGCCGTGACCGGCCTCACCTCCAGTACAGTAAGTGGCGGTGTATGCACCTCAAAAGTTAGATACGATCCGTCTACCCAATCCCAAAGAAGAAGAAGAAGACATTTCTCATCATTAAATTCCAAGAAAATATTAACCACAAGCAGGTAAAACGGTTATACATGTAAATAGATTGGTTTATGTATGTCACATCTGACGTATCGGTCCACAAAGTCAGTGAAGAAAAGTAAACATAGAATGCATATTTCTTGCAGGCGTTTTACACGTTTACGTGGCGTATTTTGCGTGGACAGTGACGAAAGTGTTACATTTCATCTGCAACGAAGGATGCTGGCAAAACATTTCAAGCTAGCTATAAATAATAGTAGCTAAGTGCAGGTAGCTAGTTTTGATAACATTGTTATAACAATAACAGCTACGTTGGAGAGTACGATGTGGGCAATACGCTATGAATTACAACGTGCCTGCTGTAGGCAATAAGACTTAGGCGAGAAGATTGTCTGCCTGGCTAACTAACGTTAGCCGCTAGCCGATGGTGTTTAGATTTCAGCTAAAGTAAGGATCAGACTAGTTAGTTAGCTAGATTGACATGTTTGCATAACAAACCGTGTTCAAGATCAATAAGTTGCTGCCTATCTACATCTTTGAAAGACCAGAAATGATTTAGCTAACTGTTATAGCGAACGGACATGGCTGTTGGACCTGTTTTGTTTACACTTGGCGTTTATTTGTCTAGCTAGCTAACGTTAGATCATCAGCACGAACCACAACTCGTGTCTAGCAAGCAAGCTGAAGAGCAAATCTAGCAAATCATCTGAACGCTTGTCAACCTAGCCAGTTAGTTTCTGGATTCGTCTTGAGGTCAGCCAAGCAAATAGTTGCTGTCAAGTTAGCAAAGCAAAGCTGCAACTATGTCTATGGACGACTTCACTTCGATCAGCCTGCTTTCCCTGTCCATGTTGGTGGGATGTTATGTGGCTGGAACCATTCCTCTGGCTATCAACTTCTCAGAGGTGAGTAGTACTCAAACTACAACTTTTCTGAGAAACAAAGTTCAATTTAAAATGGAGTCTTCGGCAGAAGTCCTTAGCTAGTTACTGAGATTACAGTGCTCATCAATGCACACATTTTTTTGAACAGCATTGCCGGTGGTTTTTAGTGTAACCAAGCCGAACTAGTCAACTTAAATATATTCTAACGTTCACATACAATTCGACAAATTCAGTGATGTAAGGCAACTGATCACGTGAGGCCAAAGTTCATGGTTGGAATATTGATCCCTGCCATGATTGATCCCTGTCCTGGTTGTTATGTAATGCTGATGAACCCTCTCTCCTCTGTCTTGTCCTGCAGGAGAAGCTGAAACTGGTGACGGTCCTGGGAGCAGGGCTGCTGTGTGGTACTGCCCTGGCTGTCATCATCCCTGAGGGGGTCCATGCCCTGTATGAGGAGGTCCTGGAGGGTGAGACTCAGACTGCGTCCCAAATGCCACCCTATATTCCCTTTATTATAATAATAATAATAATAATATGCCATTTAGCAGACGCTTTTATCCAAAGCGACTTACAGTCATGTGTGCATACATTTTTACGTATGGGTGGTCCCGGGGATCAAACCCACTACCCTGGCGTTACAAGCGCCATGCTCTACCAATTGAGCTACAGAGGACCACACTACTTTTGACCAGGGCCTATGGGGCTCTAGTCAAAAGTAGTGCACTATGTAATGGTGAGCACAGATAGAACAATGACACATATATTTCACTGGATGTATAAATCTGAAGCATCCTCTTGGCCAAATATGGTGGTGAGAGGAAGCCTAGTGGCCGGCAGTGGGAGAAGGTGCGAGATGGATTTTGGCCAAAGTTCTGCTAATTTTCTCATTGATGAAACATTTGATCTCAGTACAGTTTTCTGTTCCCAAAACTAGAAATTGTTACGAACAGAGTGGACTAAGTTTTGTAGACTTTACCCTTTGCCAAAGTTGTAAAAAATTGCGTTGTTTAGACGGAGTGCAAAGGCGAATTGAGTTATTGCACACGCCCACTTCACAGAGTAGGCGTTCTCTAACGGAAATATGCAAATGCATGCTAGAACGCGCACATAGGATCTCGGTAGCTCGTGCTTGGCTCTGCCCAGCTTGCTTGGCTCTGCCCAATATGACTCATTGGTTCCCATTGGAAACGACAGGCTGTGGTCTGTCTTCGGTGGTAGTGTCTGTTCTGCTTGTGTCTGAGTGGGTATGTCTGTAGGTAGTGATGCTAACTAGGTAACACTGGTAACACTAGGTAACACCAACTAGGTAACACTGAGGACATAGTGAAGTGTATCAGGGTTTCCGTTAGCAGGTAAATGCTGGCTTTTGCCCCCCCCCCCCCCCCCCCCCCCAAAAAAAAATAAAAAAATAAATGAAAAGCCGATAAATACAATTGTTGCCGGCCAAGTTTTCTGGAAGAAGAAGAAAAATCCATTGCGAAATAATGTTTTTATTAATTGATGGAAATACTATTGGATGTGCTCCAACTTCATAGGATAATATACTTCATGATAATATACTTCATGATAATACACTTCATAGGATAATACACTTCATAGGATAATATACTTCATGATAATACACTTCATGATAATACACTTCATAGGATAATATACTTAATGATAATACACTTCATGATAATACACTTCATGATAATATACTTCATGATAATATACTTCATGATAATATACTTCATAGGATAATATACTTAATGATAATATACTTCATAGGATAATATACTTCATAGGATAATATACTTCATGATAATATACTTAATAGGATAATATACTTCATAGGATAATATACTTAATAGGAGAATATACTTCATGATAATACACTTCATGATAATACACTTCATGATAATATACTTCATAGGATAATACACTTCATAGGATAATATACTTCATAGGATAATATACTTCATAGGATAATATACTTCATAGGATAATATACTTCATAGGATAATACACTTCATAGGATAATACACTTCATAGGATAATATACTTCATGGTAATATACTTCATAGGATAATATACTTCATAGGATAATATACTTCATAGGATAATATACTTCATAGGATAATATACTTCATAGGATAATATACTTCATAGGATAATATACTTCATGATAATATACTTCATAGGATAATATACTTCATGGTAATATACTTCATAGGATAATATACTTCATAGGATAATATACTTCATAGGATAATATACTTCATAGGATAATATACTTCATAGGATAATATACTTCATAGGATAATATACTTCATAGGATAATATACTTCATAGGATAATATACTTCATAGGATAATATACTTCATGATAATATACTTCATAGGATAATATACTTCATAGGATAATAGACTTCATGGTAATATACTTCATGATAATATACTTCATAGGATAATATACTTCATAGGATAATAGACTTCATGGTAATATACTTCATGATAATATACTTCATAGGATAATATACTTCATGATAATATACTTCATAGGATAATATACTTCATGATAATATACTTCATGATAATATACTTCTTAGGGTAATAAATCCTCAAGCTGCTGGACATTAGTGTAGGTGGTGTGTTTCTATATTTACTCATGTTAAAGATGCGAGGTCCTCCATAAGGGACTTCAGCTAAGTGTACCCTGACTGATTGTGTTGGTCAGGCCCAGTCCTAGCAGTCCTGCTGCCGCCCTAGATAGATGGCTAGATCAACATATGTGTCATGTATAGTATAAAGATTTGCAATGGATTGATAGAGTAGAGTAATGATGTGTATCATGAACAATTGGTGCATTTCAGTTGAGCTTATTCAGTAGCACTTGGAAACTAAACATCGTTGCCAACTATTCACATCGGAGAGTTACAATGTTATAATCACCAGGCAGTCAACTGTCTATAGTAGGAAACAGAGTTGTTATCAATCACCAGGCAGCCAACTGTCTATAGTAGGAAACAGAGTTGTTATCAATCACTAGGCAGCCAACTGTCTATAGTAGGAAACAGTTATCAATCACTAGGCAGCCAACTGTCTATAGTAGGAAACAGAGTTGTTATCAATCACCAGGCAGGCAACTGTCTATAGTAGGAAACAGAGTTGTTATCAATCACCAGGCAGCCAACTGTCTATAGTAGGAAACAGAGTTGTTATCAATCACCAGGCAGCCAACTGTCTATAGTAGGAAACAGGGTTGTTATCAATCACCAGGCAGCCAACTGTCTATAGTAGGAAACAGAGTTGTTATCAATCACCAGGCAGCCAACTGTCTATAGTAGGAAACAGAGTTGTTATCAATCACCAGGCAGCCAACTGTCTATAGTAGGAAACAGAGTTGTTATCAATCACCAGGCAGCCAACTGTCTATAGTAGGAAACAGAGTTGTTATCAATCACCAGGCAGCCAACTGTCTATAGTAGGAAACAGAGTTGTTATCAATCACCAGGCAGCCAACTGTCTATAGTAGGAAACAGAGTTGTTATCAATCACCAGGCAGCCAACTGTCTATAGTAGGAAACAGAGTTGTTATCAATCACCAGGCAGCCAACTGCCTATAGTAGGAAACAGAGTTGTTATCAATCACCAGGCAGCCAACTGTCTATAGTAGGAAACAGAGTTGTTATCAATCACCAGGCAGCCAACTGTCTATAGTAGGAAACAGAGTTGTTATCAATCACCAGGCAGCCAACTGTCTATAGTAGGAAACAGAGTTGTTATCAATCACCAGGCAGCCAACTGTCTATAGTAGGAAACAGAGTTGTTATCAATCACCAGGCAGCCAACTGTCTATAGTAGGAAACAGAGTTGTTATTAATCACTAGGCAGCCAACTGTCTATAGTAGGAAACAGAGTTGTTATCAATCACCAGGCAGCCAACTGTCTATAGTAGGAAACAGAGTTGTTATCAATCACCAGGCAGCCAACTGTCTATAGTAGGAAACAGAGTTGTTATCAATCACCAGGCAGCCAACTGTCTATAGTAGGAAACAGAGTTGTTATCAATCACTAGGCAGCCAACTGTCTATAGTAGGAAACAGAGTTGTTATCAATCACCAGGCAGCCAACTGTCTATAGTAGGAAACAGAGTTGTTATCAATCACTAGGCAGCCAACTGTCTATAGTAGGAAACAGAGTTGTTATCAATCACCAGGCAGCCAACTGTCTATAGTAGGAAACAGAGTTGTTATCAATCACCAGGCAGCCAACTGTCTATAGTAGGAAACAGAGTTGTTATCAATCACCAGGCAGCCAACTGTCTATAGTAGGAAACAGAGTTGTTATCAATCACTAGACAGCCAACTGTCTATAGTAGGAAACAGAGTTGTTATCAATCACTAGGCAGCCAACTGTCTATAGTAGGAAACAGAGTTGTTATCAATCACCAGGCAGCCAACTGTCTATAGTAGGAAACAGAGTTGTTATCAATCACTAGACAGCCAACTGTCTATAGTAGGAAACAGAGTTGTTATCAATCACTAGGCAGCCAACTGTCTATAGTAGGAAACAGAGTTGTTATCAATCACCAGGCAGCCAACTGTCTATAGTAGGAAACAGAGTTGTTATCAATCACTAGGCAGCCAACTGTCTATAGTAGGAAACAGAGTTGTTATCAATCACCAGGCAGCCAACTGTCTATAGTAGGAAACAGAGTTGTTATTAATCACTAGGCAGCCAACTGTCTATAGTAGGAAACAGAGTTGTTATCAATCACCAGGCAGCCAACTGTCTATAGTAGGAAACAGAGTTGTTATCAATCACCAGGCAGCCAACTGTCTATAGTAGGAAACAGAGTTGTTATCAATCACCAGGCAGCCAACTGTCTATAGTAGGAAACAGAGTTGTTATCAATCACTAGGCAGCCAACTGTCTATAGTAGGAAACAGAGTTGTTATCAATCACCAGGCAGCCAACTGTCTATAGTAGGAAACAGTTATCAATCACTAGGCTGCCAACTGTCTATAGTAGGAAACAGAGTTGTTATCAATCACTAGGCAGCCAACTGTCTATAGTAGGAAACAGAGTTGTTATCAATCACTAGGCAGCCAACTGTCTATAGTAGGAAACAGAGTTGTTATCAATCACCAGGCAGCCAACTGTCTATAGTAGGAAACAGAGTTGTTATCAATCACCAGGCAGCCAACTGTCTATAGTAGGAAACAGAGTTGTTATCAATCACCAGGCAGCCAACTGTCTATAGTAGGAAACAGAGTTGTTATCAATCACTAGGCAGCCAACTGTCTATAGTAGGAAACAGAGTTGTTATCAATCACTAGGCAGCCAACTGTCTATAGTAGGAAACAGAGTTGTTATCAATCACCAGGCAGCCAACTGTCTATAGTAGGAAACAGAGTTGTTATCAATCACCAGGCAGCCAACTGTCTATAGTAGGAAACAGAGTTGTTATCAATCACCAGGCAGCCAACTGTCTATAGTAGGAAACAGAGTTGTTATCAATCACTAGACAGCCAACTGTCTATAGTAGGAAACAGAGTTGTTATCAATCACTAGGCAGCCAACTGTCTATAGTAGGAAACAGAGTTGTTATCAATCACCAGGCAGCCAACTGTCTATAGTAGGAAACAGAGTTGTTATCAATCACTAGGCAGCCAACTGTCTATAGTAGGAAACAGAGTTGTTATCAATCACCAGGCAGCCAACTGTCTATAGTAGGAAACAGAGTTGTTATCAATCACCAGGCAGCCAACTGTCTATAGTAGGAAACAGAGTTGTTATCAATCACCAGGCAGCCAACTGTCTATAGTAGGAAACATAGTTGTTATCAATCACCAGGCAGCCAACTGTCTATAGTAGGAAACAGAGTTGTTATCAATCACTAGACAGCCAACTGTCTATAGTAGGAAACAGAGTTGTTATCAATCACTAGGCAGCCAACTGTCTATAGTAGGAAACAGAGTTGTTATCAATCACCAGGCAGCCAACTGTCTATAGTAGGAAACAGAGTTGTTATCAATCACTAGGCAGCCAACTGTCTATAGTAGGAAACAGAGTTGTTATCAATCACCAGGCAGCCAACTGTCTATAGTAGGAAACAGAGTTGTTATCAATCACCAGGCAGCCAACTGTCTATAGTAGGAAACAGAGTTGTTATCAATCACCAGGCAGCCAACTGTCTATAGTAGGAAACAGAGTTGTTATTAATCACTAGGCAGCCAACTGTCTATAGTAGGAAACAGAGTTGTTATCAATCACTAGGCAGCCAACTGTCTATAGTAGGAAACAGAGTTGTTATCAATCACCAGGCAGCCAACTGTCTATAGCAGGAAACAGAGTTGTTATCAATCACCAGGCAGCCAACTGTCTATAGTAGGAAACAGAGTTGTTATCAATCACCAGGCAGCCAACTGTCTATAGCAGGAAACAGAGTTGTTATCAATCACCAGGCAGCCAACTGTCTATAGTAGGAAACAGAGTTGTTATTAATCACTAGGCAGCCAACTGTCTATAGTAGGAAACATAGTTGTTATCAATCACTAGGCAGCCAACTGTCTATAGTAGGAAACAGAGTTGTTATCAATCACCAGGCAGCCAACTGTCTATAGCAGGAAACAGAGTTGTTATCAATCACCAGGCAGCCAACTGTCTATAGTAGGAAACAGAGTTGTTATCAATCACCAGGCAGCCAACTGTCTATAGTAGGAAACAGAGTTATCAATAAGCCACGTGTATCACACGAGTCACGACCCCACAATAGTTCAAATTACAATAAACATTACATTTGTTAACATCATCCAGTAGGACTGTAAAAAGAGTGATATATAATTTGAGTTTTGGAAACTAGCGGTTTCATGTCGCGGGCCTCGTTTCACAGGATCATTGTAAAATAAGCATTCTCTCAATGAACCAGCCTTAACGAATTTCATTTATTTACATATAGAATTTGATTGTCCAACATCAGTTTTATAATTTCTTCAGTTTGTGGCCACCTAGAGTGGCCTCTTCCCACTGCTGTGGTGCTGAATCACAGCGGGAGTGGTGCGTGGGTGGCCTCTTCCCACTGCTGTGGTGCTGAATCGCAGCGGGAGTGGGGCGTGGGTGGCCTCTTCCCACTGTTGTGGTGGTGAATCGCAGCGGGAGTGGTGCGTGGGTGGCCTCTTCCCACTGCTGTGGTGCTGAATCGCAGCGGGAGTGGGGCGTGGGTGGCCTCTTCCCACTGCTGTGGTGCTGAATCGCAGCGGGAGTGGGGCGTGGGTGGCCTCTTCCCACTGCTGTGGTGCTGAATCGCAGCGGGAGTGGGGCGTGGGTGGCCTCTTCCCACTGCTGTGGTGCTGAATCGCAGCGGGAGTGGGGCGTGGGTGGCCTCTTCCCACTGCTGTGGTGCTGAATCGCAGCGGGAGTGGTGCGTGGGTGGCCTCTTCCCACTGCTGTGGTGCTGAATCGCAGCGGGAGTGGGGCGTGGGTGGCCTCTTCCCACTGTTGTGGTGGTGAATCGCAGCGGGAGTGGTGCGTGGGTGGCCTCTTCCCACTGCTGTGGTGCTGAATCGCAGCGGGAGTGGGGCGTGGGTGGCCTCTTCCCACTGTTGTGGTGGTGAATCGCAGCGGGAGTGGTGCGTGGGTGGCCTCTTCCCACTGCTGTGGTGCTGAATCGCAGCGGGAGTGGGGCGTGGGTGGCCTCTTCCCACTGCTGTGGTGCTGAATCGCAGCGGGAGTGGGGCGTGGGTGGCCTCTTCCCACTGCTGTGGTGCTGAATCGCAGCGGGAGTGGGGCGTGGGTGGCCTCTTCCCACTGCTGTGGTGCTGAATCGCAGCGGGAGTGGGGCGTGGGTGGCCTCTTCCCACTGCTGTGGTGCTGAATCGCAGCGGGAGTGGGGCGTGGGTGGCCTCTTCCCACTGCTGTGGTGCTGAATCGCAGCGGGAGTGGTGCGTGGGTGGCCTCTTCCCACTGCTGTGGTGGTGAATCGCAGCGGGAGTGGGGCGTGGGTGGCCTCTTCCCACTGTTGTGGTGGTGAATCGCAGCGGGAGTGGTGCGTGGGTGGCCTCTTCCCACTGCTGTGGTGCTGAATCGCAGCGGGAGTGGGGCGTGGGTGGCCTCTTCCCACTGCTGTGGTGCTGAATCGCAGCGGGAGTGGGGCGTGGGTGGCCTCTTCCCACTGCTGTGGTGCTGAATCGCAGCGGGAGTGGGGCGTGGGTGGCCTCTTCCCACTGCTGTGGTGCTGAATCGCAGCGGGAGTGGGGCGTGGGTGGCCTCTTCCCACTGCTGTGGTGCTGAATCGCAGCGGGAGTGGGGCGTGGGTGGCCTCTTCCCACTGCTGTGGTGCTGAATCGCAGCGGGAGTGGGGCGTGGGTGGCCTCTTCCCACTGCTGTGGTGCTGAATCGCAGCGGGAGTGGGGCGTGGGTGGCCTCTTCCCACTGCTGTGGTGGTGAATCGCAGCGGGAGTGGGGCGTGGGTGGCCTCTTCCCACTGCTGTGGTGGTGAATCGCAGCGGGAGTGGGGCGTGGGTGGCCTCTTCCCACTGCTGGGGTGGTGAATCGCAGCGGGAGTGGGGCGTGGGTGGCCTCTTCCCACTGCTGTGGTGGTGAATCGCAGCGGGAGTGGGGCGTGGGTGGCCTCTTCCCACTGCTGTGGTGCTGAATCGCAGCGGGAGTGGGGCGTGGGTGGCCTCTTCCCACTGCTGTGGTGCTGAATCGCAGCGGGAGTGGGGCGTGGGTGGCCTCTTCCCACTGCTGTGGTGGTGAATCGCAGCAGGAGTGGGGCGTGGGTGGCCTCTTCCCACTGCTGTGGTGCTGAATCGCAGCGGGAGTGGGGCGTGGGTGGCCTCTTCCCACTGCTGTGGTGCTGAATCGCAGCGGGAGTGGGGCGTGGGTGGCCTCTTCCCACTGCTGTGGTGGTGAATCGTAGCGGGAGTGGGGCGTGGGTGGCCTCTTCTCACTGCTGTGGTGGTGAATCGCAGCGGAAGTGGGGCGTGGGTGGCCTCTTCCCACTGTTGTGGTGCTGAATCGCAGCGGGAGTGGGGCGTGGGTGGCCTCTTCCCACTGCTGTGGTGCTGAATCGTAGCGGGAGTGGGGCGTGGGTGGCCTCTTCCCACTGCTGTGGTGCTGAATCGCAGCGGGAGTGGGGCGTGGGTGGCCTCTTCCCACTGTTGTGGTGCTGAATCGCAGCGGGAGTGGGGCGTGGGTGGCCTCTTCCCACTGCTGTGGTGCTGAATCGCAGCGGGAGTGGGGCGTGGGTGGCCTCTTCCCACTGCTGTGGTGGTGAATCGCAGCGGGAGTGGGGCGTGGGTGGCCTCTTCCCACTGCTGTGGTGCTGAATCGCAGCGGGAGTGGGGCGTGGGTGGCCTCTTCCCACTGCTGTGGTGGTGAATCACAGCGGGAGTGGGGCGGGCCTGCCCCAGTGTTCGTAGACAGCCATGTTTTGTTATTTATTAGGCCCAATTAAAATGTTCATGCCGGGGCTAAATTAAATTAGAGAGGCCTAGATTGTCTTTGAAACCAGCTGTGTTTTGTTATTCATTAATAAATATTTTTAATACAAATAGCCTATAGGACAGGTCATTCGCAAATTATATTATACAAATATTATATTTAGACGTTTTATTACTGGTGACTTGTTCTTCTCGTCCAGGGGAGTCAAACTCATCCAATGGAGGGCCTAGTGTCTGCTGGTTTTAGTTTAAGACCTAGACAACCAGGTGAGGGGAGTTCCTTACTAAGACCTAGACAACCAGGTGAGGGGAGTTCCTTACTAAGACCTAAACAACCAGGTGTGGGGAGTTCCTTACTAAGCCCTAGACAACCAGGTGTGGGGTGTTCCTTACTAAGACCTAGGCAACCAGGTGAGGGGAGTTCCTTACTAAGACCTAGACAACCAGGTGAGGGGAGTTCCTTACTAATCAGTGACCCTTAATTCATCAATCAAGTACAGGGGAGGAGTGAAACCCTGCAGACACTCGGCCCTCCGTGGAATGAGTTTGACACATGTTCTAGGCTAAATGTTTAAAAAAAAAATGATATTCATTTATGATTTATAGCAGGGATGAAGACGCAACGGGAAACGTTTTGCTTTTCAATAAAACCTGTGATGTTGGTATTACCATTTTTCTACTTAATTTTATTAAGACTTTACAGGCTAATTTCTATTCTGTTAAGATGAATTACAATAATCTAAATGTGATTTTTGAGCACCGTGGGTGGACGCCCTAATGCGTTACACACCCAATGCATATGTAAATTAAAATCTTGCCGGTCACGTTGTCTGGCGCCAAATGTTCCTAACGGAAACCAAGAAGTGTATGTCTATCTCTGAATCTACTGTATGGGTTAGGGTCTCTGAATCTGCTGTATGGGTTAGGGTCTCTGAATGTACTGTATGGGTTAGGATCTCTGAATCTACTGTATGGGTTAGGGTCTCTGAATCTACTGTATGGGTTAGGGTCTCTGAATCTACTGTATGGGTTAGGGTCTCTGAATCTACTGTATGGGTTAGGGTCTCTGAATCTACTGTATGGGTTAGGGTCTCTGAATCTACTGTATGGGTTAGGGTCTCTGAATCTACTGTATGGGTTAGGGTCTCTGAATCTACTGTATGGGTTAGGGTCTCACTCTGAATCTACTGTATGGGTTAGGGTCTCACTCTGAATCTACTGTATGGGTTAGGGTCTCTGAATGTACTGTATGGGTTAGGGTCTCTGAATCTACTGTATGGGTTAGGGTCTCTGAATGTACTGTATGGGTTAGGGTCTCTGAATCTACTGTATGGGTTAGGGTCTCTGAATCTACTGTATGGGTTAGGGTCTCTGAATCTACTGTATGGGTTAGGGTCTCTTAATCTACTGTATGGGTTAGGGTCTCTGAATCTACTGTATGGGTTAGGGTCTCTGAATCTGCTGTATGGGTTAGGGTCTCTGTCTTTGAATCTACTGTATGGGTTAGGGTCTCTGAATCTACTGTATGGGTTAGGGTCTCTGTCTCTGAATCTACTGTATGGGTTAGGGTCTCTGAATCTACTGTATGGGTTAGGGTCTCTGAATGTACTGTATGGGTTAGGGTCTCTGAATGTACTGTATGGGTTAGGGTCTCTGAATCTACTGTATGGGTTAGGGTCTCTGAATCTACTGTATGGGTTAGGGTCTCTGAATCTACTGTATGGGTTAGGGTCTCTGAATCTACTGTATGGGTTAGGGTCTCTGAATCTACTGTATGGGTTAGGGTCTCTGTCTTTGAATCTACTGTATGGGTTAGGGTCTCTGAATCTACTGTATGGGTTAGGGTCTCTGAATCTGCTGTATGGGTTAGGGTCTCTGAATGTACTGTATGGGTTAGGATCTCTGAATCTACTGTATGGGTTAGGGTCTCTGAATCTACTGTATGGGTTAGGGTCTCTGAATCTACTGTATGGGTTAGGGTCTCAGAATCTACTGTATGGGTTAGGGTCTCTGAATCTACTGTATGGGTTAGGGTCTCTGAATCTACTGTATGGGTTAGGGTCTCTGAATCTACTGTATGGGTTAGGGTCTCTGAATCTACTGTATGGGTTAGGGTCTCTGTCTTTGAATCTACTGTATGGGTTAGGGTCTCTGAATCTACTGTATGGGTTAGGGTCTCTGAATCTGCTGTATGGGTTAGGGTCTCTGAATGTACTGTATGGGTTAGGATCTCTGAATCTACTGTATGGGTTAGGGTCTCTGAATCTACTGTATGGGTTAGGGTCTCTGAATCTACTGTATGGGTTAGGGTCTCTGAATCTACTGTATGGGTTAGGGTCTCTGAATCTACTGTATGGGTTAGGGTCTCTGAATCTACTGTATGGGTTAGGGTCTCACTCTGAATCTACTGTATGGGTTAGGGTCTCTGAATGTACTGTATGGGTTAGGGTCTCTGAATGTACTGTATGGGTTAGGGTCTCTGAATCTACTGTATGGTTTAGGGTCTCTGAATGTACTGTATGGGTTAGGGTCTCTGAATCTACTGTATGGGTTAGGGTCTCTGAATCTACTGTATGGGTTAGGGTCTCTTAATCTACTGTATGGGTTAGGGTCTCTGAATCTACTGTATGGGTTAGGGTCTCTGAATCTGCTGTATGGGTTAGGGTCTCTGAATCTACTGTATGGGTTAGGGTCTCGGTCTCTGAATCTACTGTATGGGTTAGGGTCTCTGAATCTACTGTATGGGTTAGGGTCTCTGTCTTTGAATCTACTGTATGGGTTAGGGTCTCTGAATCTACTGTATGGGTTAGGGTCTCTGAATCTACTGTATGGGTTAGGGTCTCTGAATCTACTGTATGGGTTAGGGTCTCTGAATCTACTGTATGGGTTAGGGTCTCTGAATCTACTGTATGGGTTAGGGTCTCTGAATCTACTGTATGGGTTAGGGTCTCTGTCTTTGAATCTACTGTATGGGTTAGGGTCTCTGAATCTACTGTATGGGTTAGGGTCTCTGAAGCTACTGTATGGGTTAGGGTATCTGGATCTACTGTATGGGTTAGGGTCTCTGTCTTTGAATCTACTGTATGGGTTAGGGTCTCTGAATCTACTGTATGGGTTAGGGTCTCTCAATATACTGTATGGGTTAGGGTCTCAATCTACTGTATGGGTTAGGGTCTCTGAATCTGAATCTACTGTATGGGTTAGGGTCTCTGAATCTACTGTATGGGTTAGGGTCTCTGAAACTACTGTATGGGTTAGGGTCTCACTCTGAATCTACTGTATGGGTTAGGGTCTCTGTCTTTGAATCTACTGTATGGGTTAGGGTCTCTGTCTTTGAATCTACTGTATGGGTTAGGGTCTCTGAATCTACTGTATGGGTTAGGGTCTCTGAATCTACTGTATGGGTTAGGGTCTCTGAATCTGCTGTATGGGTTAGGGTCTCTGAATCTGCTGTATGGGTTAGGGTCTCTGAATCTACTGTATGGGTTAGGGTCTCTGAATCTACTGTATGGGTTAGGGTCTCTGAATCTACTGTATGGGTTAGGGTCTCTGAATCTACTGTATGGGTTAGGGTCTCTGAATCTACTGTATGGGTTAGGGTCTCTGTCTTTGAATCTACTGTATGGGTTAGGGTCTCTCAATCTACTGTATGGGTTAGGGTCTCAATCTACTGTATGGGTTAGGGTCTCTGAATCTACTGTATGGGTTAGGGTCTCTGAATCTACTGTATGGGTTAGGGTCTCTGAATCTACTGTATGGGTTAGGGTCTCTGAATGTACTGTATGGGTTAGGGTCTCTGAATCTACTGTATGGGTTAGGGTCTCTGTATCTACTGTATGGGTTAGGGTCTCTGAATCTACTGTATGGGTTAGGGTCTCTGTCTCTGAATCTACTGTATGGGTTAGGGTCTCTGAATCTACTGTATGGGTTAGGGTCTCTGAATCTACTGTATGGGTTAGGGTCTCTGAATCTACTGTGTATGGGTTAGGGTCTCTGTCTCTGAATCTACTGTATGGGTTAGGGTCTCTGAATCTACTGTATGGGTTAGGGTCTCTGAATCTACTGTATGGGTTAGGGTCTCTGAATCTACTGTATGGGTTAGGGTCTCTGTCTTTGAATCTACTGTATGGGTTAGGGTCTCTGAATCTACTGTATGGGTTAGGGTCTCTGAAGCTACTGTATGGGTTAGGGTCGCTGGATCTACTGTATGGGTTAGGGTCTCTGTCTTTGAATCTACTGTATGGGTTAGGGTCTCTGAATCTACTGTATGGGTTAGGGTCTCTGTCTTTGAATCTACTGTATGGGTTAGGGTCTCTCAATATACTGTATGGGTTAGGGTCTCAATCTACTGTATGGGTTAGGGTCTCTGAATCTGAATCTACTGTATGGGTTAGGGTCTCTGAATCTACTGTATGGGTTAGGGTCTCTGAAACTACTGTATGGGTTAGGGTCTCACTCTGAATCTACTGTATGGGTTAGGGTCTCTGTCTTTGAATCTACTGTATGGGTTAGGGTCTCTGTCTTTGAATCTACTGTATGGGTTAGGGTCTCTGAATCTACTGTATGGGTTAGGGTCTCTGAATCTACTGTATGGGTTAGGGTCTCTGAATCTGCTGTATGGGTTAGGGTCTCTGAATCTGCTGTATGGGTTAGGGTCTCTGAATCTGCTGTATGGGTTAGGGTCTCTGTCTCTGAATCTACTGTATGGTTAGGGTCTCTTAATCTACTGTATGGGTTATGGTCTCTTTCTTTGAATCTACTGTATGGGTTAGGGTCTCTGAATCTACTGTATGGGTTAGGGTCTCTGAATCTACTGTATGGGTTAGGGTCTCTGAATCTACTGTATGGGTTAGGGTCTCTGAATCTACTGTATGGGTTAGGGTCTCTGAATCTACTGTATGGGTTAGGGTCTCTGAATGTACTGTATGGGTTAGGGTCTCTGAATCTACTGTATGGGTTAGGGTCTCTGTATCTACTGTATGGGTTAGGGTCTCTGAATCTACTGTATGGGTTAGGGTCTCTGAATCTACTGTATGGGTTAGGGTCCTCTGAATGTACTGTATGGGTTAGGGTCTCTGAATCTACTGTATGGGTTAGGGTCTCTGTATCTACTGTATGGGGTTAGGGTCTCTGGATCTACTGTATGGGTTAGGGTCTCTGTCTTTGAATCTACTGTATGGGTTAGGGTCTCTGAATCTACTGTATGGGTTAGGGTCTCTGTCTTTGAATCTACTGTATGGGTTAGGGTCTCTCAATATACTGTATGGGTTAGGGTCTCAATCTACTGTATGGGTTAGGGTCTCTGAATCTGAATCTACTGTATGGGTTAGGGTCTCTGAATCTACTGTATGGGTTAGGGTCTCTGAAACTACTGTATGGGTTTAGGGGTCTCACTCTGAATCTACTGTATGGGTTAGGGTCTCTGTCTTTGAATCTACTGTATGGGTTAGGGTCTCTGTCTTTGAATCTACTGTATGGGTTAGGGTCTCTGAATCTACTGTATGGGTTAGGGTCTCTGAATCTACTGTATGGGTTAGGGTCTCTGAATCTGCTGTATGGGTTAGGGTCTCTGAATCTGCTGTATGGGTTAGGGTCTCTGAATCTACTGTATGGGTTAGGGTCTCTTAATCTACTGTATGGGTTAGGGTCTCTGTCTTTGAATCTACTGTATGGGTTAGGGTCTCTGAATCTACTGTATGGGTTAGGGTCTCTGAATCTACTGTATGGGTTAGGGTCTCTGAATCTACTGTATGGGTTAGGGTCTCTGAATCTACTGTATGGGTTAGGGTCTCTGTCTTTGAATCTACTGTATGGGTTAGGGTCTCTCAATCTACTGTATGGGTTAGGGTCTCAATCTACTGTATGGGTTAGGGTCTCTGAATCTACTGTATGGGTTAGGGTCTCTGAATCTACTGTATGGGTTAGGGTCTCTGAATCTACTGTATGGGTTAGGGTCTCTGAATCTACTGTATGGGTTAGGGTCTCTGAATGTACTGTATGGGTTAGGGTCTCTGAATCTACTGTATGGGTTAGGGTCTCTGTATCTACTGTATGGGTTAGGGTCTCTGAATCTACTGTATGGGTTTAGGGTCTCTGTCTCTGAATCTACTGTATGGGTTAGGGTCTCTGAATCTACTGTATGGGTTAGGGTCTCTGAATCTACTGTATGGGTTAGGGTCTCTGAATCTACTGTGTATGGGTTAGGGTCTCTGTCTTTGAATCTACTGTATGGGTTAGGGTCTCTGAATCTACTGTATGGGTTAGGGTCTCTGAAGCTACTGTATGGGTTAGGGTCTCTGGATCTACTGTATGGGTTAGGGTCTCTGTCTTTGAATCTACTGTATGGGTTAGGGTCTCTGAATCTACTGTATGGGTTAGGGTCTCTGTCTTTGAATCTACTGTATGGGTTAGGGTCTCTCAATATACTGTATGGGTTAGGGTCTCAATCTACTGTATGGGTTAGGGTCTCTGAATCTGAATCTACTGTATGGGTTAGGGTCTCTGAATCTACTGTATGGGTTAGGGTCTCTGAAACTACTGTATGGGTTAGGGTCTCACTCTGAATCTACTGTATGGGTTAGGGTCTCTGTCTTTGAATCTACTGTTTGGGTTAGGGTCTCTGTCTTTGAATCTACTGTATGGGTTAGGGTCTCTGAATCTACTGTATGGGTTAGGGTCTCTGAATCTACTGTATGGGTTAGGGTCTCTGAATCTGCTGTATGGGTTAGGGTCTCTGAATCTGCTGTATGGGTTAGGGTCTCTGAATCTACTGTATGGGTTAGGGTCTCTGTCTCTGAATCTACTGTATGGGTTAGGGTCTCTTAATCTACTGTATGGGTTATGGTCTCTTTCTTTGAATCTACTGTATGGGTTAGGGTCTCTGAATCTACTGTATGGGTTAGGGTCTCTGAATCTACTGTATGGGTTAGGGTCTCTGAATCTACTGTATGGGTTAGGGTCTCTGAATCTACTGTATGGGTTAGGGTCTCTGAATGTACTGTATGGGTTAGGGTCTCTGAATCTACTGTATGGGTTAGGGTCTCTGTATCTACTGTATGGGTTAGTGTCTCTGAATCTACTGTATGGGTTAGGGTCTCTGTCTCTGAATCTACTGTATGGGTTAGGGTCTCTGAATCTACTGTATGGGTTAGGGTCTCGGTCTCTGAATCTACTGTATGGGTTAGGGTCTCTGAATCTACTGTATGGGTTAGGGTCTCTGAATCTACTGTGTGGTTTAGGGTCTCTGAATCTACTGTATGGGTTAGGGTCTCTGAATCTACTGTATGGGTTAGGGTCTCTGTCTCTCTCTCTCTGTAGGTTTGCACCATGCCCCTGTCCAGACGGAGGGGGTGGGGGTGTCTGAGCCCAAGGAGGGTGTGGATGCAGCTCTGGGAGTCAGTGGGGGCCACAGCCACAGCCACCAACACCTCCATGCCTACATCGGGGTTTCCCTGGTCCTGGGGTTCGTCTTCATGCTGCTGGTCGACCAGATAGGAAGCGCCCACGTACACAGCAGCGCTGACGGTCAGTCTGGGAACAGCATGCGCGCACACACACACACACACACACACACACACACACACACACACACACACACACACAACACACACCACACACACACGGGGACACAGACACAGACGGGACAGGACAGAAATAACAGTCAGTGTGGGTGGAGCTCACCACTCTCAGGGCCTGTTTCCCGGACACAGATGAAGCCTAGTAGTCCTGAACTAAGATATGTTCAGTGGAGAATCACCATTGAAAGTGCTTTTCAGCCCAGGGTTAGGCTTAATCTGTCCGGGAAACCAGGCCCTCAAGGTTCTACTTTTTTAAAGCAATATTTGTCCATTGAGTGGTCTGTCTGATTTGATGTGTGTGTTTGTTTAGATCCAGAATCTGCGAGGGTTGCCAGTTCAAAGATCACCACCACTTTGGGACTGGTGGTCCACGCAGCAGGTAAGATGGCTTCATTATACAGTGTTTCAGACCGAGATGTTTTAGGAAGAAGAGTGTGTGGAAGGCTATGAAGGCTTGTTGGTGTTTTTTTTTTTTTTTTGTTGGTACGATTTGATAAATGTTATTTTAAACAATACAATACTCTACATTCCAGCGGACGGAGTGGCTCTCGGAGCAGCTGCTTCCACCTCTCAGACCAGTGTTCAGCTCATTGTCTTTGTGGCCATCATGCTTCACAAGGTACAATGACAACCCCGTTCATCTTATCGCGCTCCATGTTTTGTTTCAACACGTTTGTAGCGGATGTCACTGTGTTGGTTAACAGAATAGCTTCCTTCCTTTTTAAAAAAAAACATTTTTAGTCATTTAGCAGACGCTCTTATCCAGAGCGACTTACAGTTAGTGAGTGCATACATTATTATTTTTTCATACTGGCCCCCCGTGGGAATCGAACCCACAACCCTGGCGTTTGCAAACGCCATGCTCTACCAATTGAGGTACATCCCCTGCCGGCCATTCCCCTCCCCTACCCTGGATGACGCTGGGCCAATTGTGCGCCGCCCCATGGGTCTCCAGTTCGCGGCCGGCTACTACAGAGCCTGGATTCGGACCAGGATCTCTAGTGGCACAGCTAGCACTGCGATGCAGCGCCTTAGACCACTGCGCCACTCGGGAGGTTTACTGTTGGTTAACAGAATAGCTTTCCTTCCTCACTAGCCCACACTATAACAACCTTTTAAATTCACTAACAATATGAAACAACACAAAACAGATAAAGGAACAACTATGAGGTAAACAATTAAAAAGTAACCAATCAATGCTATTATAAAGTGTGGGGGGGGAGGACTCCCCCCCCCCCCGTCTAGTATGTATACACAGGTGTTAGTTCAGTTGTAATTCCTGTAATTGGTCTGTATGTTAAACTGTCTCTCTTTCCCCCCCAGGCCCCAGCTGTGTGTTTTTAAACACTGTCTCTCTCTTTCTCCCCAGGCCCCAGCAGCCTTTGGCCTGGTCTCTTTCCTGATGCATGCTGGTCTGGAGAGGAACCGGATCCGTAAACACCTGCTGGTCTTCGCCCTGGCAGCACCCGTCCTCGCCATGGTTACCTTCGTAGGACTCAGCCAGGTCAGTTGGGGGAGGGGGGGGGTCCCATGAGCCAGTTACTAATCCTCCAGGGCCCGGGTTATTTTGGGGTTGGGTTTCCTCTTAAACTGTTGGGTTGGTTCACCACGATGGGGGGGGTTTTTAACTGCTTTTTTTAGGGCCTAAAATGAGGTGGGTTTAAAATTAGGGGGCCTAAAATTTGTTTTGGCTTGTTTTGATTATTATTACTCTGTTTTTAATCACTGTATGGAGGTCTTTCCTTATTATTTAACAAAATATATTTAGGTTTTAATCTGTGATTGTTCTTCTCGTAGGGGGTCCTAATCCAATGGAGGGCTCTAATTCTGCTTTTTTTAGTTTGACCTTAGGGGCCAACCCAGGGTAGGGAGTTTTTCTGACTACCCGTTGGGGGTTCCTTCTATCCGTTGACCCTTAAGGTTACCCAATCAACGTAGGGGGGGGTTTTGAACCTGGGGGTGGCCCTTCCGGGGAGGGTTTTGGCCTGTTCTACTAATGTTTTTGTTAAAATGTATTTATTTTGATTATGTAGGGTTAAGGCTCGAACGTTTTGGGGTTTTCAAAAAACCCTGTATGGGTTTACCTTTTTCTAATTTATTTTATTCGAACTTTAGGAAATTTTAATTCTGAAAAATGATTACTTTGAATTATGTGAGGGGTTTGGCCCGGGGGTGCCCCTAAGGGGTTTATTCGACCCATGTAGGGGTAAATTAAATTTTGGGTCCGTTACTGGGGTTGTTCCCTTTTCGGAAAAAACTGTATGTTGTCTCTGAATCTACTGTATGGGTTAGGGTCTCTGAAGTACTGTATGGGTAGGGTCCTGATCTACTGTAGGGGTTAGGTCTCGGGAATCTACTGTATGGGTTAGGGTCTCTAATCTACTGTATGGGTTAGGGTCTCTCTTTAATCTACTGTAGGGGTTAGGGTCCCCAATTACTGTATGGGTTAGGGTCTCAATCTACTGTATGGTTAGGGTCTCTGAATCTATTTGTATGGGTTAGGGTCTCTGAATCTACTGTAGGGTTAGGGTCTCTAAAACTACTGTATGGGTTAGGGTCCCCTTGAATCTACTGTATGGGTTGGGGTCTCTGGATCTACTGTATGGTTTAGGGTCTCTCGAATCTACTGTATGGGTTGGGTCTCTGAATCTACTGTATGGGTTAGGGTCTCTGAATCTACTGTATGGGTTAGGGTCCCCTGAATCTCTGTATGGGTTTAGGGTCTTCTGAATCTCTGTATGGGTTAGGGTCTCTGAATCTCTGTAGGGGTTTAGGGTCTCTGAATCTACTGTATGGGTTAGGGTCTCTAATCTACTGTTTTGGGTTAGGTTCTCTGAATCTACTGTATGGGTTAGGGTCTCTGAATCTACTGTATGGGTTAGGGTCCTTCTTGAATCTCTTGGGGTTAGGGTCTCTGAATGTACTGTATGGGTTAGGGTCCTGAATCTCTGTTGGGTTAGGGTCCTCTGAATCTACTGTATGGTTAGGGTCTCTGAATTACTGAAAGGGTTAGGGTCTCTGAATCTACTGTTAGGTTAGGGTCTCTGAATTACTGTATGGGTTTAGGGTCTCTGAATCTACTGTATGGGTTAGGGTCCTGTCTCTTAATTCCTTGACTGTATGGGTTAGGGTCTCTGAATCTACTGTATGGTTGGGGTTTCTTTGTCTCCTGAATCTTACTGTATGGTTTAGGGTCTCGGGAATCTACTGTATGGGTAGGGTCTCTGAATCTACTGTAGGGTTTTAGGGTCTCTGTATCTACTGTATGGGTTGGGGTTCTGAATTACTGTATGGTTAGGGTCTCAATCTACTTATGGTTGGGTCTCTTGAATCTACTGTATGGGTTAGGGTCTCTGAATTACTGTAGGGGTTAGGGTCTCTAAAACTACTGTTGGGTTAGGGTCCATTTGAATCTCGTATGGGTTAGGGTCTTTGTCTTTGAATCAAACTGTATGGGTTAGGGCCCTTGTCTTGAATCTACTGTATGGGTTAGGGTCTCTGAATCTACTGTAGGGTTAGGGTCTCTGAATTACTGTATGGGTTAGGGTCTCTGAATCTCTGTATGGGTTAGGGTCTCTGAATCTCTGTATGGGTTAGGGTCTCTGAATCTACTGTATGGGTTAGGGTCTTCTTAATCTACTGTATGGGTTAGGGTCTCGGGAATCTACTGTAGGGGTTAGGGTCTTTTAATCTATGAAATGGGTTAGGTCTCTGAATCTACTGTAGGGGTTAGTGTCTCTGAACTACTGTATGGGTTAGGGTCTCTGAATCTACGTAGGGTTTTAGGGTTCTTTTAAAATCTACTGTATGGGTTAGGGTCCTAATCTCTGTATGGGTTAGGGTCCCCAATCTCTGTATGGGTTAGGGCCCTCTGAATCTACTGTAGGGTTAAGGGTCTCTGAATCTACTGTTGGGTTAGGGCCCTCTGAATCTACTGTAGGGGTTTGGGTCTCTAAATCTACTGTATGGTTAGGGTCTCTGAATTACTGTATGGGTTAGGGTTCTGAATCTACTGTATGGTTAGGGTCTCTGAATCTACTGTATGGGTTAGGGTCTCTGAATCTACTGTATGGGTTAGGGGTCTCGGGAATCTACTGTATGGGTTAGGGTCTCTGATCTGCTGTATGTTTAGGGTCTCTGAATCTACGTATGGGTTAGGGTTCTGAATCTACTGTATGGGTTAGGGTCTCTGAATCTACTGTATGGGTTAGGGTCTCTAAATCTACTGTATGGGTTAGGGTCTCTGAACTACTGTATGGGTTAGGTTTTTGATCTCTGTATGGGTTAGGGTCTCTGTCTTTAAAATCTACTGTATGGGTTTTAGGGTCTCTCTGAATCTACGGTGGGGTTAGGGTCTCGGGAAATCTACTGTATGGGTTAGGGTCTCTCAATCACTGTATGGGTTAGGGTCTCAATCTACTGTATGGGTTAGGGTCTTTTCGAATCTACTGTATGGGTTAGGGTCTCTGAATCTACTGTATGGGTTAGGGCTCTGAACTACTGTATGGGTTGGGTCCCCTGAATCTCTGTATGGGTTAGGGTCTCTGTCTCTTAAATCTACTGTTTGGGTTAGGGTCTCTGGAATCTACTGTATGGGTTAGGGTCTCAATCTACTTATGGGTTAGGGTCTCATCTACTGTATGGTTAGGGTCTCTTTGAATCTCTGTAGGGGTTGGGTCTCTGAATCGCTGAAATGGGTTAGGTCTCTGAATCTACTGTATGGGTTTAGGGTCTCTGTCAAATCTACTGTATGGGTTAGGGTCTTTTAATCTACTGTATGGGTTAGGTCTCTAAAACTACTGTATGGGTTAGGTCCTCTGAATCTACTGTATGGTTAGGGTCTCTGAATCTACTGTATGGGTTAGGGTTCTTTTTGAATCTACTGTATGGGTTAGGGTCTCGGGAATCTACTGTATGGGTTAGGGTCTTCTCTGAATTACTGTTGGTTTAGGGCCCTCGGGATCTACTGTAGGGTTAGGGTCTCTGATCTACTGTATGGTTAGGTCTCTGAATCTACTGTATGGGTTAGGGTCTCTGTCTTTTATCTACTGTATGGGTTAGGGTTCTGCGGTCTCTGAATCTACTGTAGGGTTAGGGTCTCTGAATCTACTGTATGGGTTAGGGTCTCTGAATCTACTGTGTGGTTTAGGGTCTCTGAATCTACTGTATGGGTTAGGGTCTCTGAATTACTGTATGGGTTAGGGTCTCTGTCTCTCTCTCTCTGTAGGTTTGCACCATGCCCCTGTCCAGACGGAGGGGGTGGGGGTGTTGAGCCCAAGGAGGGTGTGGAGGCAGCTTGGGAGTCAGTGGGGGCCACAGCCACAGCCACCAAACACCTCCATGCCTACATCGGGGTTTCCCTGGTCCTGGGTTCGTCTTCATGCTGCTGGTCGACAGATAGGAAGAGCCACGTACACAGCAGCGCTGACGGTCAGTCTGGGAACAGCATGCGCGCACACACACACACACACACACACACACACACACACACACACACACACACACACACACACACACACACACACACACACACGGGGACACAGACACAGACGGGACAGGACAGACAGGACAGAAATAACAGTCAGTGTGGGTGGAGCTCACCACTCTCAGGGCCTGTTTCCCGGACACAGATGAAGCCTAGTAGTCCTGAACTAAGATATGTTCAGTGGAGAATCACCATTGAAAGTGCTTTTCAGCCCAGGGTTAGGCTTAATCTGTCCGGGAAACCAGGCCCTCAAGGTTCTAACTTTTTTAAAGCAATATTTGTCCATTGAGTGGTCTGTCTGATTTGATGTGTGTGTTTGTTTAGATCCAGAATCTGCGAGGGTTGCCAGTTCAAAGATCACCACCACTTTGGGACTGGTGGTTCCACGCAGCAGGTAAGATGGCTTCATTATACAGTGTTTCAGACCGAGATGTTTTAGGAAGAAGAGTGTGTGGAAGGCTATGAAGGCTTGTTGGTGTTTTTTTTTTTTTTTGTTGGTACGATTTGATAAATGTTATTTTAAACAATACAATACTCTACATTCCAGCGGACGGAGTGGCTCTCGGAGCAGCTGCTTCCACCTCTCAGACCAGTGTTCAGCTCATTGTCTTTGTGGCCATCATGCTTCACAAGGTACAATGACAACCCCGTTCATCTTATCGCGCTCCATGTTTTGTTTCAACACGTTTGTAGCGGATGTCACTGTGTTGGTTAACAGAATAGCTTCCTTCCTTTTTAAAAAAAACATTTTTAGTCATTTAGCAGACGCTCTTATCCAGAGCGACTTACAGTTAGTGAGTGCATACATTATTATTTTTTCATACTGGCCCCCCGTGGGAATCGAACCCACAACCCTGGCGTTGCAAACGCCATGCTCTACCAATTGAGGTACATCCCCTGCCGGCCATTCCCCTCCCCTACCCTGGATGACGCTGGGCCAATTGTGCGCCGCCCCATGGGTCTCCAGTTCGCGGCCGGCTACTACAGAGCCTGGATTCGGACCAGGATCTCTAGTGGCACAGCTAGCACTGCGATGCAGCGCCTTAGACCACTGCGCCACTCGGGAGGTTTACTGTTGGTTAACAGAATAGCTTCCTTCCTCACTAGCCCACACTATAACAACCTTTTAAATTCACTAACAATATGAACAACACAAAACAGATAAAGGAACAACTATGAGGTAACAATTAAAAAGTAACCAATCAATGCTATTATAAAGTGTGGGGGGGAGGACTCCCCCCCCCCCCCGTCTAGTATGTATACACAGGTGTTAGTTCAGTTGTAATTCCTGTAATTGGTCTGTATGTTAAACTGTCTCTCTTTCTCCCCCCAGGCCCCAGCTGTGTGTTTTAAACACTGTCTCTCTCTTTCTCCCCAGGCCCCAGCAGCCTTTGGCCTGGTCTCTTTCCTGATGCATGCTGGTCTGGAGAGGAACCGGATCCGTAAACACCTGCTGGTCTTCGCCCTGGCAGCACCCGTCCTCGCCATGGTTACCTTCGTAGGACTCAGCCAGGTCAGTTGGGGGAGGGGGGGGGTCCCATGAGCCCAGAATGCTACTCAATCCTCCCACTACTCCTCTCCCCAGCCCGTAGAATGAAATAATGCCCTGAGATAACATGCTCCATTTTAAAGTAGTCAACTGAGTGGAACACAGGTTTCCATCCAAATGAAACTCCCCTGTTTCTCCCTCCCTACAGTCCAGTAAAGAGGCGCTGTCAGATGTGAATGCCACGGGCGTGGCCATGTTGTTCTCCGCCGGGACCTTCCTGTACGTCGCCACGGTACATGTCCTTCCCGAGGTGGGCGGGACCGGACACAGCCACGCCCCCGCTCCGGGGAAGGAAGCAGCGAAGGGACTGAGCAAGGTGGAAGTTGGAACCTTGCTTTTGGGTTGTCTGATACCACTGGTACTGTCTGTTGGACACCAGCACTAGAGAGGAGAGGAGAGGAGTAAGATGGAGAGGAGAGGAGAGGGGTAAGATGGAGGGATAAGGAGAGGAGAGGAGGGGGTTTAAAGTGAAAGCAGCCAAACAAGACACATCTGTCATATTTACCTGTTCTGTGACTGCTGATTGGTTGGAGTGGGACAACGACCTGCGGCGTGATCAGAACCATTAAAACCACGCCGGAAGACACAGGAGTCCTGATGATGACATCATAATAACAGCAACCTCCCACTTTTTCTACACTCTACGAGAAGTGCTGTCTGCTGATACTGTAGACAAAAGACTTCTACCACTATGTTTTTATTTTATTTCTAAGCTCTAGGTAGGCTGTGCAAGATAGCAGGGGAGTTGGATCATGGCTGTATCCTGTTTCAGTGATACAGATGGCAAGTGTCGACTGACTCCTGAACTCATGTTAATGTACATGCTTTTATTTGTTGACGACTGGGCTTTAAGAAATGTAAAGACCTTATTTGTGACATCTTGCAGTGAAAGGAATGTTTTTAAATGTGTGATTTTTCACACTCGCTGGTTTTTAGAGCAATGCCACAAACACATTATAAGAACTCTGCTCTTACTGTGAGATGAAATGTGATCTTTATTTATTTTCTTGCTAGTAGAATCAGTAACTATTTAGACGTTTACATGTAAGTAGTTACATTTCTATGACTTTTGATCTCACCCAATGGTTACTTATTAATCTTCTCTACTAGTAATATATGGGACATCTGAGGGAAATAATTCTGCTTTCCACAGACCCTAACCTGTTACCTGAAGGTTAATGACTGTCTTGCTTCAGCCACATAAAGGAACCCTTGCCCCCAGGACCAGCCTCTAAATGACACACCAAATGATCTAAACCTATATCAGCCCTTCTTGAATTACCTCTCTTTCTTTCACATTTAGTTTGGTTGTTTTCCACCAGACCTGCTTTCCTGGTAGAGGAAGTGGAGAATGAGCACCTTTTTAGATGATTGTGGAGTAGGGTGAGGTTGCCACTAGACGTTGGATCTTGGGTCAGTTTGGGTTTCCCCACTAATGGTTAAGGTCAAAACTGAGCCTAGATCTGTATCTAGGGGAAACTTCACTCCGGAGCGATGATTGTATAGAGAAAACGGCTACTATTCTATTTGACGGTG